GAATCGGGCGACTCCTGTGAAAGGGTTGTTCGACCCCCAAAGGGGTCTCGACCCACGGGTTGAGAACCGCTGATTTAGACTCATAGCAAACCTATGGGAGAGAGGAGAACTGAATTGCTTCCTGTGGATTTCCAAGACTGGAAATGTTTATGTGAGTAGAGAGCCAAATCTTCAACCCGAGGAGTGGCTGGCAGCCCCACAGGTATCCACTACACCACTGGGGCTTCTTCTGCTACATACCACGAGAAAACGAAAACCCACCACCCCCAAAATGTGCAGAAAGTGAGCAAGCGAGATGGCACCCCGTCCGAAATTTGAGGTATCTTTCTTTACCTCCTGGCTTAGGTGAGGCTCATACCTTATGAGCTGCATCCCACCCCCAACCTGCACATTCAATCAGTTGCAAAATTCAGGAGTTATGTAGAAGATAGGCATGGCAAGGTAGGAAGTGGTTGGTATAAGAAACAGAAGAACACTTCACCTGGTTCCATTTTCCAACATGAAGCTTATCAGATGGTAAGTCTTCGTGGACCAAAACGCCATATCATCCAGTCCTCCGAGGAAATAGTCCTGGAACTGTTCGACTAAAAATGGGGACTTACTAGAAAAGATGGGGTAGAGCTATGGCAGAGAGAAAGAGAAATAAACTCAGGGCTCAGCCTGGCATCTCTACAGACCATTCAACCAAGAAAAAACACATGTGTTTTACCTTGGAAACTGCTAACATCTCACCATACCTGCAACACAAACAATGTGGACTGTCAGTGACCGTTTCTACCGAGAAATGAAATAATTATTAAAGAGAAAGCTCCATAAACACAAATCGCTAATACGCAACTGCCTTTGAATAAGAGAAATTCTTATTACCATGCATCGACTCTCAGACGCCTGGAACCTGGAAAATTGCCAACGGAGCCATAAAGTCAGTCACCAGAGTGACACTCACATTTCCAAGAACTGAAGATGCGTGCACTCAACAATGACATTGTTGGTGATGACGTCTCGGCCGTACAGCTTCTTATAAATTCCCAAGAGATCTTTGGAGGGCACATACCTGAGAGAAGAGTTAGAATAAAATAGGTGCCGTGTGCACCACGGAGTGGAAGATAGTAACCATAACAACAAGAGCAAAACAACCGCAGCAACTAAAAATCCTTTCAAGTTCATGACCTGCTGGACATCTTGCAAGGGTCTTTTTTTTTACCTTCTTTCTCATTTTTTAATTTCTTCATTGTAAATTGGGTGAAGGGTACCACAGCGGATATTCACATACTCATGTGACCTTTGTTTCAGATCATTCATGTCATCCCTCTCTGTACCGTCACTGATCCCGAACCCTCTGTACTTGGTATTTGGGTGAAAGCTACGATTTTGAACTTAAATAGTTGATTATTCTAAAAGTAGGGGCGGGACTGGGGGTGCAGAGGAGTTCTGTTCCAGACCTGAAGGCTGACTGAGGGCCACGCTGGGTGTTTGCACGCACTGATTATTGATGACTAGCACCCCCGGGGGCGGGTTAGTGTCTGCCGTTCTCAGGTAAAGAGCTACAGCCTCAGGTAACTCGCAGTGGGGTCACCTGGACCCTGTCCTATAGGGTCACTGTGAGTCAGCAGTGACTGCATGGCAGTGAGTTTGGTTTGATTTATATAGCAGGAAACTGAAGCTCAGAAAACTGACATGCTTTTCCAGTGGCACAGAGCAAGCAACCGGTACTTCAGACAAACATTTATGAAGGTACAGTCCAAGATAAGAAATGAACTATAAATACAAACCAAACTGAATCTTTTCCATCAAGTTGACTCTGACTTATAGAACTGCCCCGGAGAATTGCCAAGGCTGTAATCTTTACAGAAATCGACTGCTACATTTTTCTCACAGAGAGGCTAATGGGTTTGAACTCCAGACCTTTGGGTAAGCAGCTGAGTTCTTAACCACTTTGCCACTAGAGGTGCTTATAAAGGACCAAATCCATTCATGTCTAGTTGATTCTGACCCACAATGAGTTTATGGGACAGAGATGTTTCCAAAATACCTCTTTGAGGGGCAGACTGCCATATGCCTCTCCTGCAGAGACAGGTGGGTTCAAGCCAAGTCCTTTTGGTTAACAGCCAAGCCCTTCACCCACTATCCCACCAGCCCTCCTTTCTCAAAGTATACAAGTCAGAAAACACAGCCAAGGAGATCTGATTTTAGCATGTTTACGAAAAAGGAACTAGTCAGATGTCTACTTGGGTTTTTTGGTTTGTTTTATGAGCAGCAGAATGATCCTCCCAGTAAAAATCACTGAAAAGGACAAAATAAAAATATTTTGCTTGAGTGAATCACTAAGCTAGCAAGAAGGTGAACCTTTTCCAAAGGCTGAAAACAAGTGGGAAATGGAAATCTTGGGAGCTCGTCTGCAAAACCCTGGGGACCCAAGCTGAAGTTCTGATGGCGGCAGGTCATCCTCTGTCATCGTCTCCTCACTGCAGCGTCTGGGACCCACCCCATGCTGTCAGAGTAGAGCTGCTTTCCACGGAGCTCTCAGGGGCTGATCTTTTCCGAAATAGATTGACAAGCCTTTCCTCAAGGCAACTCTGGGTGGACTTGAACCTCCAACTTTTCAGTCAGCAGTCAAGTCCATTAACTGTTTCCAGTAGGCAACACCGATGATAGGACACCAAAGGCAACACCTTTCCTATGAGTACGAGGGAGCAATAAGCCCGTTACGCAGACAAGAAACAAGCTTGTCTTGACCTTGGCAATGAATAGCAAGAGAAAGTAATCTCCCCGTCTCATACTCACAGGTCAAGTTCTCTGTGCAGTCAAACTTAGAGCGTCAAATACAACGGACGGTGACCGGGCAGCCCAGGGTTGATAGCATCCTCCCTAGCAGATGGTAACCCGAACTCAAGCGCCAACGAATCCAAGCTCACTCCCTGCCATGTAGTCATTTCTGACTCATAGCGACCCTCTAGGGCTGAGTAGAAGTGTCCCTGCAGGTTCCTGAGGCTGTAAACCTTTCTAGGAGCAGAGAGGCTCGCCTGTCCCCAGAGGCTGTCGGATTTCAACGGCTAAGCCTGCAGTGGGCAACCCAACACGTAACGCCCTACACCACCAGAGGTCCTTACTAACCCACGCACCACAGCATATAACAAAAGATGACTAAAAATGAGGGCTATCACTGCAATAACGGTGGATAACGGTTGATAAAGCAAGCGTGAGGGCAACAGGCATTAGTAGCCATAAAGAAGGCCACTACACAGTGATAAAGTGCAATTCAACATACGACGTTGCTAGCTGAACGTACCCACCCATAAGAGGAAGCTTCAAAATGTTTAGGAGAAAAAGCCTATCATCTTTCTATTGAATTTTTCCATGAACCCTTTGAAGCCTCCTCCTATATGCTTGAAACTGATATAAAACTAGCTTTGGGGAAGGAGAGGGAGAAAGGGGGAACAAAGGACAAGGTCTACATGTGGCCTCCTCCCTGGGGGACAGACAGCGGAGAAGTGGGTGAGGGAGACGTGGGATGGGGTAAGATATGATAAAATAATAATAAATTATAAATTATC